TTTATAAATTAATATATGATAATAATAATAATGGATATGCCTAGAAGCGAAGTGAGAGGAAATGGAATTATATGCAGTCATTAAGTAGAACGAAATGTGTGCGCTCTCTTAGAGATATGTTAAAAAGGCTGATCGATCAGCCTCGAGAAAAATTTACGCTTGCTCTCACTGACGGCCGCCAATTGGCAAAGCGAATTGATTGGGTCTCGCCATCTAACTTACAATCTAGGAATCGAATTATTATTGTTTTGCTAAACATCAAGGTGTTTTATGCTTTTTGTAATAAAAATGAACTTGATTTTCACGTCCCCTAGTTATTTGATTTGAAATTGATTGATCTTGATTGATTACAGTCTTTGGAATGCGCATATGAAACTCGTTGGGTGGTGGCGAGTTTCGAAATTCGAATAAATTATATATAAGGTGTAAAGATGTACTTATTTTACTTACATCGTACTTATAAAGGACATTGTTATTCCAAAAGTCGCCATGACAGATGACTGAATATGGTGCCGCTTTGGCACCCTTAACGCAATCGGGCAAAATTTTACATAAATTATCTTCGACTTTATGCAAAATTTCTATATGCTTCTGCTGATGTTTAGGATCTTGAAGTAGAAGGTTACGTGCACGCTTTATATAGCGTTTACCGAATTCCACTGTCACCGTAGCCATATTCTCAATGAATAAATCTTCTTTGATTTTCGCTATTAATGCGTTGAATTTTTGTGGTTTACGAGCTTGCAAAACAAACGATAGGGCATGCAATTGAGCAACTGAGCGAAATGTTTCCATAACTAAATTATAAGTTGGCATCTGCATGCGCGCGTTTGTTTTATAACCGCTTATTGACAGATCTTCGAATATAATGAATTCGTTGTTCGGTTCTAATGAATAGTAAAGCATATCGGGCACGACATTGAATGGAAGGCTTTCATTTGGATAATTTAATGCTTGTAAGCGTTCTTCATATAATTTACGATATTCGCCAAACACTTGTTCGTACATTAGTACCTCTTTGGCATAAAAATCGGCCACATGCATTTGAGCACGACGTGCCGGGTGTTTTGGTGAAATTTTTACAATGCTAATAAGCTCTTTGCTCGTTGCAATTTCTAGGTCATTGCTTGTGAGAGCTTTCATCGTCATCTGCAATACCAAACCGTAAGAGTTCTCACCAAATTCCGATATGGGTCGGGTTATTAATTCATATTCTTTAAAGCCTTTCTCAGCGGCCAAACGATGAAAAAACTTGAAAATTTTCGGAGAGATTTCTTCAGAGTCAATATTGTTGCCTTCGTTTACCATTTCAGGGCACTGCGCCGTCGTCGCGATGCTGCTAGTAGTGGTCGTGGACATTGCTGAATTGCCATTATTATTATTAACTGTATTCGCCATTGGAGTTTTGTATATGATAATCTTTTTCTTTTTTTTTTTTTTTTTTTTCTACTTATTTATTTATTTACTAATATAATTATTTAATTTTATTTTGTACTTAACTTGTATTTATTAATTTCTTTTTTATATTAACTTTTTAAATATTTTCAAAATTTTTTTAACGAAAATTGATAAACTAGCGGTTATGTTGTTTTCACAAAAACCTGTTATTATTATTATTATTATTTTTACTTTTATTATTATTATTATTATGTTTTCTTAGCTTAGTACAACGCTTGCTGTTGGACTGACTGCATATATTGTGTTTTATTCTACTATTTATAGTGTTTTTTGTTTGTTTTTTTCAATTTTTTTTAAATTTTTTTTTTTTTTTTTTTTTCTTTTTTTGAATAACATTGAGAGTGTACCTGTGTGCACTACACTACACCATTGAAAACGTAAAACAGCACACAATCTCGCAGTCATGTATGTGTGGATGGATGCGTGAGCTTTTTTTCTTTTCTTCTTCTAGTGGGTGCGTTGTTGTTGTGTTTTCGGTTACTAAAAAGAAATTAAACTCTGAAATATTTGTTGCTGTTTACGTTCTCTGTAATCTTGAGTTATTGTTGTTTTTGTGTTTTGTTTTTAAGAGAAACGTTTCCTTTAACATCTGCGTTGCTTTGTTTTTGTTGTTTTTTCTTTGCTTTTTTTTGTTTTTTTTTTTTTTTTGTTTGTAGAAAATTCCGCATTGTTAATTATTTCAACTGCCTGTTTGTGTTGTTGTCTGTTATTGTGGTTGTTGTTTGTTACAGTTTCTTTTATTGTCTTTTAGGGTTTGTTTGGGTTCTACAAATGTTTTATCCTCATCGTCATGAGAGTATAACAACTTTATCATCCCATTCGTGAAACAAAGTACAAGAAATTCGCTGCAAAACACCAAAGAAAAGATAGATATATACACAATATACATAATATAAAAAAGTTTTCCATTCGAAATGAATTCTGCTCGAATGAAGAATTTCTCTGGACTTGTGGATAAATGAAATTTTTTCTTCCTTGATGCGAAGGGTACAATTCTCTGAAATTATTGGCCATGTGTTTAAAAAAAAAAAAAAAATTATATATATATATATGTATACGTATATAGAATTTCGGAAATAGTGTATTCCCTTTGTAAAATATATATAAAGTATATATATATAAATCATATGTATATATAAATCGCCAATTAATCTTAATATCATGTATAAGGTGATAAATCCATCACAGCTATATTTACGAGATCTACGGGGAATATTGAAGTCAAACTTAAAATTAATTGGCGACAGATGATGGATTATATTGCTGATGGGAATATTACGGAATATATTTTCTTATCAATTTCACCTTTGTTTTTGGAATCTACATTATATATAAGATCCATGCGAAGTCTATAAAATCGAAATGTTGCTAATCAACCGTGAAGTTGTTACGAATCAAATGACAAGAATAGTAAACTTCCAAACTCCAAACTCAGTGGTGGATATAAAAGCTTTACAGTTATTATCTCATGCTTATGCATGATTTTTTTTTTTTTTTCTTCTTTTGATATAACTAATTTTTCATTTTCTTACAAATTTTAAAGCCTACGTTTTTTTTTCTATTTTGTAAAACTTGCTTATTTTTAGGACGGACATGTTTAGAATTTTTAATGAATTTTTTGCCTTCATATTTAAACGCATATTTTCTCCATAAAATTACAATTATGTACAATTTGGTGACACGAAAACAACGAAAAAAAAAAATTTTTTTTTATTTGGGCGATCCTCAAACGTCCAATAACTAGACTTACACTCGTATTGAAATTGAATTGATTATTTATGATTCTTGACGACAAGCGACACATTTAGCTCTCAGACAGACGACTAATAATTCTTGTCATCTACTTGTCAGACAGACGACTCTTTTAAGCTGTCCAAGGTTGTAGGCACTTGTTTCATAGTCTCTTTAAGAAGCATTATAATAATATCATTAATGATATCGTTTCGGCGATACCTGCTTTATGCAGATAAACGCATTTTGCCGTCACTCTGCTTTCGTTAGGTATCGTTTTCAACTCAAACACAAGCTAGAAATTACAAAGTCTACCAGTTTGTTGTAATTGCGATAAGGATTTCAAGAAATTCATTTAACAAAGGATGCATGGTATTACGTTTTTCCTTGTTATTCTCGTCCGGTTATATTCGAAAATCACAATAAACGATACACCAGAAATCATTTCACAATTATAGAAAGTTATTCATTTTGTTGTTCATCATAAAATTACGTGCAAATAGAGCGGAGAATATGTTGAAATAGCTTTAAAATTCATACAATAACCCATAAGGAGGTAAAAAATATGATTTCATACATGTTTAATGTACGATAACTGCAATGCGATGAACGATAGATATATATATATATATATATATATATATATATATACGTGCAAATAGGACGGAGAATATGTTGAAATAGCTTTAAAATTCATACAATGACCCATAAGGAGGTAAAAAATATGATTTCATACATGTCTAATGTACGATACCTGTAGTACAATGAACGATCGATGTATATATATATATATATATATATATATATATATATATGTATATATATTTATGTGTGTGTTTGTGTGTGTGTGTGTGTGAGTACATTAATGTATTCCATAAATTGTATATATATATATACATATATATATATATATATATATATATATATATACATATATATCTTGCAGTTAAATATTGATGTATTGAAACATTTTTCCCCAGACGAATGCAAATTTTTGCTTGTCTTTAAAGCCGTATTGGACAAAGAATTCTATCGATTGATTATAAAATGAACTTAATGGTGTTAAATTACATTTGTGTTCATTTTTTTTATTTATTTATTTTTTTTTTGGGAGAGCGAATTATTTAAGTATATAATAACTCTTATAAAAATGATTAAAGTGTAATTTCTGAAAGAAGATTAACTTGTCCGCCTTTATTCATAGAAATTTAGTCGTTTTAAATTATTTAAAAAAAAGAAAAAGAAAAGAAAAAATGACCCTAATGAAACGGGCTTGACCGATTGTAGTAGTCGCAGTTGTTTATCTTTAACAATAATATATTTAAAAAACCATTAAAATGTCAAATTTGTTTATATTTCATCTAAAATTTCAAATTTATTCTAAACCAGATTTACATCCGTAAACAAAACTCTTTCTTTTCTTATTATTGTGTTGTTAGTGTTGTATTGTTGCTTCATGATCTACGTATTTTTGTTTTTTTGTTTTTTGCTTGTTTTTTTTTTTTTTTTTTTTTTTTTTTTAAATTAATTTTTTTGTTTTATTGCATAATTTAAAACGTCAAAGGTTATTAACTTTAGTTTTGTATTGTCATGCAATTGTAATTAAATTTTATTGCAATATTGCGTTTTTTTTATATTTTTTTTTTTTATTTATTGTCTAACGTCCTTAAGTAAAGCAAAATCAAGGGCAGGTACAGCACCACTACAAAGTATTGGTAACATAGACAAAGAATCTCGTTTAGCTACGCACTCATAGAGCAGTCAGTGACCCTGCAAGTGAAAATTCCAAAAACCATTAAAGCCACTAACCTTGAATTTGACACGGGTATGCATGCATGCATGCATGTATGTGCATCTTATCTACTAAAGATGAATAGCAAAAAAAAAAGACTAACAAAAGCTTCATACTCGTATTGTTTTCATCTCTACATAGACGCGTTGTTGACGCGTCAGAAGCAAGCAACAAATTCATTAACTATTTTAATAATAATAATAATAATAATATCGTAAGCAAGAAATCTTATGCTAATCGGTTATAATACTTGATGTTTTTATATCTTGCAATATATCGCATTTTTCATCATCTCTACGAGTTATGATCTTCGCCTGGTGGCGTGAGTTCACTTAAGTGTAGGAAAATCAACAAAACCGACCTTGTAAGTATAAGTGCCATAATATATTTGAATTAATTTTCCTATTAATTGATGACGATGACGATCATAATGATTTATTAGTTAGTTGAACTAATCGAGATTACGTTTACGTGAAAAAATTTCTACAAAATTCGAAGATAAGAAATCTTATGCCATAAGTGATCGCAGAACGTTACAAATGCAATATTAAAATTAATTTATCTAAAATTTAAGAAATTTTTGAAAATTTTAACAAAATATTATTCTGAGAAACTTTTGCGAGATAATAAACTCAGACCTATAGACCTGTATCAATGTGAAATGTAAAAGTGATCTCGACTGATTTAATGTTCATATATAACAAACATTTTACGACGTTCGAACGATGATCGAGTAGTCAGTTTGTTCGTTCGGCCATTGATCTGCCTTTCATTCAAAAATACCGACCAAAAAATGGAGCTTCTTAGTAAGAAGTACATAGATATACAAAATGATGATGGTTAGTATTATTCATTTATCGATCTACATCGTTGTCGTATTAGATCTCTTAGAAATGCATATTTTGGAGACGATAAGATACATATTTTTATATATATAGAAAAATGAACTCATAGCTTTATGCCGCCCCGAAGTTAGCATTGGAATATTTTTTCAATAAATTGTCTCTCAATTTGACTTACATCGTATAATTCGATAATAGTTGAGATGAAAGTAATGCGAACCGTGATATTAACGAGACGATTGATAGTACCGAGAGTGAAGATGATATTTTTCTAAAAAACTCATCTTAAAATCATGATATGAAAGGCGTCTCATATCGTCCGTTAAATCCCAATAGTTCATAATTAATGCATTTTCATACATATTTATTATTATACGTGATGTAAGATTTGCTTGAAGACGACACAGTTACATTTTTCGATGGCTTAATCAGTCCCTTGAATTCTTTAGCACATATAGTATATATGTTTTTCAAATACGCACATGATGTGAAGATCTTTAATTAACTTATCTATGCGTTGCATAGAATTATCATAATTGAATATATATGAATGAATGGACGCGAATGAATGAAATAATATTTTGGAAAAATGTAATTTTTTTTTAGCGCGTTCTCTAGCAGCTGCTATTGACTATCAATCGGAAGCG